GTATATTTACAATTCAGTAGGCCTATTTTTTGTTAAATGGTCAGTCTAGCCATCATATTAGGAATAAGTACGGCTAGACCCGCATTCCTTATAATAATATTAGTTTAAAAGATGAGACAGTCATAAAAGCTGGAAAAGACAGACACTTGAAAAGGTAGTAGGCCTAATTTAAAATAATAATTGCTCAAATTCTTGAACGCTCTTTATTCAATTATTGAGGCTTGTGTTTTGGGTGGGTGGATGGGAGCGTCGGTGTCTGAGACCCTCCAACACGTCCGTCCCCGACAGTTTTTTTTTTTTTTTAAATCTGAATGATCTTCCCGATGTTGACTTAATATGATCAAAAGTATCAACATTATCCCCAAAAAGGAGGCTGAGGAATCAGCTATGAAAGAATCAGACTTCGAAGGGACACCGGCTGATCTTCCACTGTGTTGTTCTTCATCAGCTGATCCTTGCAGAACGGCAGAACGGGGATTGCCTGTCGCTATTTTTAGAATCAAGGGAAGTAAGTTGCGCGAAAGCGTTGCACTTCCGGGGGCTCACTCCTCACACTCTGAAAATGTAAACACAACCAACAGAAAAATCACATTTTACATGAATATTTATTTGGTTAAATTCTTGTGAGAGCGTGTTGTGTTCTTGATGAATTGGAATAAAATCCTTTTAATGTGATACAACCGGAGTCCTGGGAAGCATGGCGTCAATTTCTTTCATGGAAAGGCTTCGTACCTTTCGTCCTCCTCTGCCGACAAATTTCACTTCACTCTCCAACTCCTACACTCCAATGAAGTTTGCAGAAGCCGGCTGGGAACGCGAAGACAATGTTATTTCCTTGTCAGATGAGTTAGTATGTCGCTCTTGCAGTGTTAGACATAGTGGATGGTCAGGGGAGTCTCCCTTTGCTGCCCACCGAACCAAAAGTCCCAACTGTCATTTTCTAAACACGGCGCCAACAAACCCAACAATTACAAGCGTTCAATCTCTTTTTGTTGAACGAGATGCCATCTTGTCGTCCCCTTTAATAAATGAGATGAATGAAGGAGCTGAAATACAGGAACCAGAAACAGTATTTTCCATATGTAACTTGGGTGAAACAAGTGATAGAGAAACTTTGAGAAGAAAGTTATTCTTGAGTAGACTGAACAATGATCACTCTCGACGGACATCGTACAGTAGACATCAACTTATTGTTCACCCTTTCAAACCTCTTGCTGGTGGTTATCCCATGTTGTTTGAAAGTCTTCGACTTACTACGTACAATTCACCAAGCTCAGTTGAGGCAGCAAAATGGTCAAGAGATGGCTTCATCATGACATCTAACCTCCGAGCCCAATGTGTTTTCTGTGGACTCCAGTTGGAGTTTGACGTGTGTGTTGACATTGCACATGTGCACAAGGAAAAGTCACCTGAGTGTCCTTTTGTGTGTCACTTTGATGTGGGAAATATTTCTAGTGAAGTACAAAGGAGTATTCTGGAGAAGGAACGTTTAAAACATTTTGTGGACATTGGTGAGCGGGATTCTTCCTTGGTAAAACAGTACAGTATCATGTATCCAGAGTTTGAAAGTTCAACAGACAGATCTGGTACCTTTAGTTTGTGGCCAAAGATCCTGAAAGGAATGTTTCCTCCTGATGTTATGGCTGATGCAGGTTTTTACTATACAGGTGGGTTTTTAATTTAATTAAAATGTGAAGCTTTGCTGACAAAATGAGTTACTTCTCAGATTCTTATGGAAATAGATACTTCATTGATACAAGCTGTTGGTGAAGTTTTTTGCCTATGAAATAATAAGGCATGTTGCAGTTAAAGAATACGGTGTCAACAGAGAATTTACAAATTTGACACTATAGTGTCAATTTTTGGCCAATGTCTCCATGTTGAATTGCGAGAAGAAACTCATTTTTTCAGTACGCCTCAATAATAAAGTTGTCTTTTTCTCTTTAGTTTCAGTTTTTCAAGTTTTTATTAACTTTAATTAGCATCATATTATGATCATAATTTTTCCAGCTCATTTCAAGTTGATCATAAACTGCTCACATCTAACATTCATTTTTGAGGTTTTAAAAGATTCATTCTGTAAGAAGTCACGGTTTGTTTTCAGTCTTAGAGAAATCTAAGATGAAAGTTGTTTCCTAAAATGAGCAATGGTTTTTAAATTTTAAAATATATATTTGTCTGTTAACTTTTTCTGGATGTAGTTTTTTGGGGGTCTAGACTCGATTTGGCTATGCAGGTGGTGTACAAAATAACTTCATAGAACTAACCATCGCTCCAAACGTAACATATGAATATGATATCAAATTGAAGGAAATTGAATGAAGAATACATCCCATTATAAAACGAGGGTTAGAAATGGCGATGGTGAACGAAAAATAAAATTTTGATGGAAAAAAATTACATTCACCAAACGAAAGCAAATCAGCATAGCTAGGCCTATCTTATCATAAAAGCCAAGAAGAGCATTTAATCCATAAATTTCTGAATGCGCAGCTTTTTTTTTTAAAGCAATATATTCAAATTTGTTTGAGTTATAAAATTCAAGTCCGGTTACATCATTTTGTTGATGAAACTAGATGTTTTCGTTTCCTAAATCCTTTCCAAGTTTATCAATAGCAATAAAAAGTGATTATAAATGACGGATCGTGTTAAAATGAAACTATACTGAAGCACCCTATCACAGCGGAATATATCGGCGATACGACCGGAAGGGGTGTGGACTCACGCATATCGGCAGTATGTTCTGAAAGAGTTAAACTATCGTGAACCTAATTGAAAAGCTCTTTAAGACTGTTGTAGAAAAAATGACATGATGAACAATTTTAATAATTTTTTTTTTTAAGTTAATCTTTAGGTTTATTTCGTACGATATGCTGGATATGAATTTTTAGTGCAATAAACACTCTTGTGTATAGTATTCATATATATATATTAGAGTGAGCTTGTTCGTAAGGAAGTTCGTGTCGTAATAGAGGTAGAGGATGAGGTACAAGACCCCCACCCCCCCTCCTTCGACAACCCCCTCTTTCTTTTTAAAAAAAGTGTATTTGTTTATTTTTAGAAAGTAGAATAAAAATATCAAAACAAAAAGACAATCCGAAACAGAATTTATAATTAGTATCGACATAATAACTAAACAAATGTGAGGCATCATGGGGAAATCAGGCGCTCGTCAAAATAACAAAATTGGAGAAACAGGCATTTTTCCCACCAGTTTCGCAATTTTAATCAAATTTTTTTGTTTTTTATTTCAACCCTTTAATGTCCAATTAAAAACACATTTCCCTGCAAATTAAGTTGAAAAATGTTGATTAAAAGCTCAAAGTATGCAAGTTTTCAGTTTTTAACAACTCTTTAGCTCTTGACGGCCATTTTCTGGCTATTTTTACAGCTGAAATAAAGTGAGCTTACCTCTTTCAATAGAAAATATCTTCACTTTTGCTCAAGATAGATGGGTATTTTTTTTTCTTCAAAGCAAGATAAATGAACAAGCTTTAAGATGATACCAATAACTCCACCTGCAAAAAAATTAACGAGCACCTAATTCCACCGCGTCGTGACACAAATGTTTTAGTAGATTCCTAATATTAACAACTTCACTGCCAAGAAGACAAAACAGGTTTAATAATGATACAAACTCCTTGTTTTAGTCTCTACATAAACTGTCTTCTGTTTCTTTTTCACTTTATCAGAACTCAATCTACAACCTGAAACATCATGAGCTTGTGAGATATTCTTTCATTTTTCATTGACAAAAAAAGAGGATGAAGTAAAATTTTTACATTTATTTTCAAACTCAGGGAAGAAAAGTCAAATAATTATAATTTACAAAATTTTCCACTCTTTTTCCCTCAGGTCACAATGACATGGTCCGTTGTTTCTCCTGTGGTGTTGAACTCTTTGACTGGATACCTGGTGCTGACCCTCTGACCCAGCATGCCTGTGCCTCTCCAGTCTGTTACTTCATGCTTCACAGCAAAGGTCAAGAGTTCATCAATAATGCTCAACAGCAAGAGGTAAAATGGTGTGATTATGTTTTTCTGATGTAATAAAAATTGATTGTAAATGTCATTAATGGTATTTCTATCATTTGCTAATTGTGTAAAATCTACCCTGGTCTCATTCTTTTTTATGAAAAGATATTTACAAAATATATGACATATGTTCTAAACATGTAACTTGAAGAAATAGGTCTACTCTTTTTTTATTCTAAAAAAAACATTGATCAATTTGCCCATCTTCAGTTTTATAAAAGTGAGGAGTCAGTGTTCACTCTATACAAATTTTAAAATACTATGGGCTGACTTTTGTGTCTTCTCTCATTGTTCTAACATGGCTAGGACATCATAATTTATAGCACCATGGGTAGAAGCTACTATATTATATATTTTAAAAAATTTTAAGTCACACATTTTGAGAGAATGGTAACTTTTCTTCTCTCCTAAGGGCTGTAAACTTTAGAGCTTTTTCTCACAATTATTTTTCTTTCTCTCTTTGTTGCAGCTTGTGGTTGGAGTAAACCAAGAGAGTCAAATACAAGGTAAAATTTGGTACCAAAATGAGACATATATGTCTCATCATCTTGTTTATGTTGAACTTTGTTTCAGAGGCTGTCAAGTAAAATAATATGTCATGATTTGTAGGTTTCAGTACATTATTACTCCTCATTTGTTCTTGATACTTTTAATTTATTTGTGTTTTGTTACAGCTTTTATTACTCAGTGACAGATTGATGCACACTCTGGTGTGCCTACAATTCTTATGAAAATTTCTTTTAAGTACAGTGTTTGTACAGTTTTGAAATTATGCTAGAGTATCATTTCTTTTTTAAATCTTTAACACTTTGCGGTCACTTAACACAATAATGCAATGGTGAAAATTATCCCTTCAGGTCACCTGGCGCAGTCTGTGCCGGGCCTGAGAAGTTTGTTGTTGTCACTCTCCTGGTTGGGTGACCAGATGGGGTATTGTGTACTGCTGGCTGTGTGACTGCAAAGTGTGAAATGAAGATCAATTTATCTTTAAGCCTGCCTTTTATAAGAAGTTTTAAGCATCGTTTTAATTATTGTTATATTTTTTATGGGCCAACTGACTGACTGCAACTTTAAAAAGAGACAATAAATTGATGTTTTTTCTTTTTATGTAACACCATGTCTGTTGGAGAGATTTTTTTCATTATTCAATTGTTACTCTTACTTATTAATTTGTTCTGGTAACACTTGTATGTTTTGTTTGTATTTGAGACTTTTTCGCATTTCCAATTTTACTGAGTAATTGTAAGCTACATTGTATTACATTTGTCAATGTGAGATATAAGTTCATTCCTGTGTTTTCTCTATCAGGTCTTGAGGCAGCTACTTCATCCACCACACTGTCAACAGCAGCAGCAACATCATCATCATCATCATCATCATCATCATCATCGTCATCATCTCCACAACCAACTGGACCCAGACCGTACCTGGACCTGGACTTGTTCTCCTCAGCTCGTGCACGTGGGTACAGCACAGAGCAAATCTCTGATGCCATCATCACCTTCTTTTACCTGACTTGTGAGTCACTCCTCTATACAGAGCAAATCTCTGATGGCATCATCACCACATTCTTTTACTTGCCTTATATCCTTTCCTCACAAGAGACAGTCTTTCCTGACATATGTTGCTTACAGGGATGATTGGGAAAAGTGTTTTTTTTTTTTTTTATTTCTTTTAATTTATGCTGGTTTTTAAGCTGTTAAATTCTTGAAATAAGTTGTGTGATGAATAATATTATTGTTTTCTCATGTAATGAAACATGTATAGAGGAGGGATTTTTAAACAAAATTTTTGCTATATTGAGCAGATATTGTTGTAACAAAAAAAAAAGAGGAACTCTGTCTGACCCTGCTTTTCATGGAGACAAATAACTATTGGTTTGTAAGTCTTCTTCCAACAACAATCGACTCTTCAGTGTAATAGCGTCACGTATCACTCTTCTAAACATCGTATGGCGGAGTCTTACACTAAGGAGTCAAAATGTTGTGCAATTTTCTGTAGTAAATAAAAACCTATGTAAGTTTTATGTACTGGTGTTGTCCAACAACTGACTTTGCTGAAAAAGTTCAAATTTTTGTCTCAGGTATTTTTTTAAAGTTAAAAGCTGTCAGCGAACGGTGTGGTGTAGTAGATAGAGTGTTTACCATGTGTGTGTTTGTATCTTCAGGTGGCCAGTTCCCCGACTCTCCCCTCCTGCTGGGTCTGCTCAAGGCCGGCACTGACCACCACAAGATGCTCTGTGACAAGACACAGGAAGTAGTGGACATCAGTTCGGAGAACCAGGTCATTAAGTCAGAGGTCGAGGCAGTCAAATCTGAGAACCAGGCCAAGGACACAGAGATCCAGGCCAAGGACACAGAGATCCAGGCCAAGGAGAGAGAACTCCAGCGTCAGAGGTTTGAGCGTGACTGGCGTGAGCTGGCCATGAATCAGGTGAGCTACAACCTTTTACCTTTGTGATCTCACCACATTGGTGTTATAATAGTATGTTCAAATTATTTGACCATCTCAACTTTGACCTCTGTGTGACTGTTCTGTGTGTTGTCATAGATGGCAGTCCGGACTGTTGGCAAAGACTTAGGATAAATAAAAACAGTCACATTCTGTGTTTGTCTTTGTTAGGGGTCCTCTCAGTGTTAACAGTTTTGTCTCTCCTTGCCAGTTACTGTCGCAGTGTTGATGAAAGGTTGAGGTTCAAGTCTGTGGGAGTTATGAATTTTTCTAATAATAATAATAAATGACATACACAGGCTCTGAGCGCTTTACAATACAGTAAAACGTACAACGGACAACAGTAACTTAAAACGTTGTGTTCTGACTAAAGAAAATTAATCCAAATATCCATCTTATTAATTTTAAAACAGCTTCAGCTGACATTTGAATGAATAAAAAAAATGTGATCTCTCTTAAAGTACTTGGTTAAGCATTCCAGATCTTGGGGCCTTGGTATTCAAATGCCCTTTCACTCACTGTTTTAAGTTTCATAGATGGTAAAATAAATTTCTCTTCCTTTCTTGAAACTATTTTTGGACCAATGCACTGAAGTTGAAGTTAAGGGTGGTTTGTGGGTGCTTTTGTGTCGTCTGCTCCTTCTACTTCAAAGCTGAGTGCATTATGAATTTTTTCTTTCTTTCTTGAAGCTTTCTTTTAGGACCAATGACCTGAAATTAAAGTCATGGGACGGTTAGTGGGTGCTTTTGTGTGGTCTGCTCCTCCTACTTCTTGCCACTGTTATAATTGTGTCAGTCTGTGTTTGGCTTAAGGCGAGTGTTGTTGTACTGACTCACTGTAATCTGACACATGGAGTCAGGGGGAAGTACTCCTTCTGTGTAATAACCAAAGTGGTGTTGTGGGTGGTTGGAGGGTGCTACTGGTGGTGGGTCTTACTGGTTTTCACTGCCTCTGTTGTTTTTATCTGTGTTTATTTTTCTTTTTTTCCTGCTCTGAATTATTTGTGATGTTTTTCTCTTCACTGAAAAAACTGATATATCAAGTAAGTTGTTATGGTCCCAACAACAGGAGATGGGAAGATACAGAAACATTTCTTGATATTGTTTTTCTCTCCTTTCTTTTTGTTAAGATGAAATCGTCAATTGCTTATTTTGAGGTGTGTTTCAGAAGTCTTTTTTTGTTGTTGTTGTTGTGAAAAGAGAAGTCAGAGGAGTTTAGTCCGATTATTAAAAAAATTATTCTGATGACCTCAACTTTTTTCCTCCTTTTTATTGTCAAGTGGTGTTCCTGCCCTATGATTAGTTTTTAGCATTTATTTTGAACTTTTAAAACCCCCTGTTGGTCTACTTTTGCTGACTTGGGAGAATTAGAACAGCCACATTCTGTGTTTGTCTGAGCAAGGGTCCTTTCAGTGTTAACTCATCTCTCTCTTCTTGCCAGTTGCTGTGGCAGTGTTAATGAAAGGTTGAGGTTTGAAGCTGAGTGCGTTATGAATTTTTCTCTTTATTTCTTCAAGCTTTCTTTTAGGACCAATGCACCAAAGTGGTGTTGTGGGTGGTTGGAGGGTGCTACTGGTGTGTGGTTGGTATTACTTCTTTTCATTGCCTCTGTTGTTTCTACCTCTGTTTTTAATCATTCTTTTTTTCTGCTCTGAATTATTGTGCCGATATTCTTTTCTTTCCTGAAAAAAATGATATATCAAGTAAGCTGTTATAGTCCCAACAAGAGTAGATTGGAAAATGCAGGAAGAATTTCTTCGTGATAAGCTCAACTTTTTTCCCCTTTTTATTGTCAAGTGGTGATCCTACCCAATAATTAGTTTTAACATTTATTTTGAAGGTATTGTATGATCCCCGTTTGGTCTACTTTTGTAGACTTTGGGATCAATAAGAACAGCCACGTTCTGTGTTTCTCTGTGCTAGGGTTCCTCTCAGTGTTAACACATCTCTCTCTCCTTGCCAGTTACTGTGGCAGTGTTGATAAAGGGTTGAGGTTCGAACTTTTTCTCTTCCTTTCTTGAAACCCTTTTTGAACCAATGCGCTGAAGTTAAAGTTATGGGTGGTTATTGTTTTGTGTGGTGTGCTATTTCTACTTCAAAGCTGAGTGTGTTTTGAGTTTTCTCTTCCTTCTTTCAAGCTCTCTTTTAGGAGCAGTAACTTGAAATCCAAGTCATGGGTGGTTAGTGGGTGCTTTTGTGTACTTCTTGCCACTGTTGTAATTGTGCCAGTCTGTGTTTGGCTTAAGGTGAGTGTTGTTGTACTGACTCACTGTAATCTGACACATGGAGTCAGTGGGAAGTACTCCTTCTGTGTAATAACCAAAGTGGTGTTGAGGGTGGTTGGAGGGTGCTACTGGTGGTAGGTCTCACTTCTTTTCATTGCCTCTGTTGTTTCTATCCCTGTTTAATCATTCTTTTTTCTGCTCTAATTTATTGTGTTTATATGCTTCTCTTTAGTGAAAAAAATTATACCTAATAGGTTGTATAGTGATAGTCCAAGAAGAATGATAGAAAGATGCAGAAGAATTTCTTGGTATTGTTTTTCCCTCTCTTGCTTCTATTAGTGAAGATAAAATTGTTGTTGATTGCTCATTTGAGGTTGTGTTTCAGAAGTGAGTTTTTTTGTGTGAAAAAAAAAGCAAAAGAGTATAGACAGAGAGTTAGGAAAATTATTCTAATTAGCTCAAAATTTATCCCTTTTATAATGTTAAGCGGTGATCCCGCCCAGTGATTAAGCCTTTATGTTTTAACATCTGTTTTAAACATATTATATAACCCTCACTTGGTCCACTCTTGCAAGGATCATTGTTGTGTAGTGCAGTATTCACTTATG